GCTCTTCAAGTAAAGATTCTTTAAGGTAAACAATGCCTCGAAGTTCTTTGAAGAGTTTCATCTTTCGGAACCCTGATACGTGAACTATGAATAAATAAACTCTCCTCGCCTCCTATGTCTTAATTAAAAGCAAAATCTGAAATTCTTGGCTTTCATTCCTTATCAGCAAAAATCCAGTGAAGGTTGTCAGACATACTAATTATCTATCTCAATATTGATTGAATAAGTTAACTTTCTATTTCTTCCCTGTACTTTTAATCATCTTAATTCTTAACCCCTTCAAATAAAACCGCACAGCTTGATTTGTCATCATTCTTCCAAAGATATTTCAAAACTTTAGCAAGTCTATTTGGTAAATTCATTCAAGAGAAATTCATCTTTATTTTTTTAGTCATTTCTCAGAAAGTCCTTCAAAACTCTTAACAGATTTCTATTTTGCATACAGTAGGAGGGGGGGAAATCATCAACATTTTTTGGTTTAATAGTTGTATATCTCTTGTATATATTGAGTCACGTAGGTGAGAATAGTGATGCAGAAATTTATTAAAAAATAAACAAATAATTGAAATATCATCCTGTTTCAATAATTCAATACCTCCTTCTCTTTCCATATTTATAATCACATTCGGGTTAATTTCAAATTTATCCAGAATATCTTGTTCTTCTTCCATCACATCCTCAACTGTTCATTTATCAATCATTTCTGAGAGTTTCAAAGACCATTTGTCAAAAGAAAAATCATAATCTTCTCAGGGTATTTCATCAAATAGTTAAACTGTTAAAATATTTCCTTCCGTTCTTTTGCTATCCTCTACTTCCCTCTAGTGTCCAATTCTAATATCTAACAGTCCCATGATTTGTTTTGACTAGGGAAGAGGTAAAAAAATGCCACTTTCTCTCAAGAATTTTTCCCAAAATCTATAATTCCAAGTCCATCTACATGTTGGAACAGCATAGTGGGGAATTGGGGATATTGAATGTGTTACAGCAGGGATCTTCAAACTCGGCCCTTTTATGACTTGTGGACTTCAACTCCCAGAATTCCTCAGCCAGACAAGGACTTGCCTGGCTGACCCATGAGAAGCCCTGAATGGCCATGAGTGAGGTTAAAGAGGCACTGTCCACCTCCCGAGAACAGAGCAGGCTTCCCTCCAACTTCAAAATGAAATAGAATAGAATAGAATAGAATAGAATAGAATAGAATGGAATGGAATGGAATGGAATGGAGTAGAGTAGAGTAGAGTAGAATAGAAAAAATGGAATGGAATAGAATAGAAAAAATGGAATGGAATGGAATAGAATAGAATAGAATAGAATAGAATAGAATAGAATAGAATAGAATAGAATAGAATAGAATAGAATAGAATAGAAAAAGTGGAATGGAATGGAATAGAATAGAATAGAATAGAATAGAAAAAGTGGAATGGAATGGAATAGAATAGAATGGAATAGAATAGAATAGAATAGAATAGAATAGAATAGAATAGAATAGAATAGAAAAAATGGAATGGAATAGAATAGAAAAGAAAAAAAAGGAATGGAATCGGACGGAATCGGACAGAATGGAAAATAGAATAGAATAGAATAGAATAGAATAGAATAGAATAGAATAGAATAGAATAGAATAGAATAGAATAGAAATCTGGAAAGAACCTTGGAGGTCTTCTAGTCCAGCCCCCTGATCAAGCAGGAGAACCTATACCGCCCCAGACAAATGACTGTCCAGTCTCCTCTTTAAAATCTCCAATGATGATTTCTGGTGGCAAGCTGTTCCACTGGTTAATTGTCCTCACTGCCAGGAACTTTCTCTTTTAATTCCAGGTTGCTTCTGTCTTTGATCAGTTTCCAACCGTTGTTTCTCATCCTTCCCTCTGGTGCTTTGGGGAACAACCTGACCCCCTCTGCCTTGTGGCAGCCCCTCAGATACTGGAACACTGCTATCATGTCTCCCCTATTTCTTCCTTTCTTTAGACTGGCCAAACCCAAGTCCCGTAGCCGTTCTTCATATGTTGTAGTCTCCAGGCCTTGGATCATCTTAGTTGCACTTCTCTGAATTTTTTCCAAACTCTTAACATCTTTTTTGTGATACGGTGACCAAAATGGGCTACAGTATCCTAGGTGCGGTCTTACTAGGGCTTTATAAAGCGGTAATATTACTTCGTGTGATCTTGATTCTATGCCTCTGCTTATGCAACCCAGGATTGCATTAGCTTTTTTGATTGCTGCTGCACACGGCTGGCTCATAGTCAAGTGGGTTCCTCCTGCCTCTTCAGCTGACCAGGGCCCGGCGTGGTCTCAGAGGGTCTTTCCAGAGAGGCAGAACTGGGTTTCTATCACCAGCAGCCATGCTGGGAAGAGAAGATGGACTCCCCCTCACTCCAAGACCACCATCTGGATCAGGAGGAGGATCTTGCAACCCCAAAGAAGCAGGGGAAGCGAAGCCAATAGGTGTGTTTTTTTCAGGAGGCAACTGGACTTTGTTGTGGTTTTTTTGAAGACATTCAATATTCCGGGGATATTGGGGAGCTTAATGATCACCAGCTTGCTTGTGAAGCAGAGGCGTGTTTCGGCTAGCTTCATGGGACAGGGTTTTCTTGATCGAAAGAGGCACAATGCCAATGTTCATACAGGACATGTCCCAATAAATCAGAATCCAAAACTTTCCAGCTCACATTACAAGTGCTGCAGTTTGGAAGTGGAGAGTTTGGGGGGAACTCGAACCCCCAACTGACCCAAAGTCTTCCAGAGAGCTCCTGAGATTTGTTAGTGTTACTTTGATGCCCAAGCATGTTTGTTTTTCTCTTCTTTTTGTCCCAAAGGGACTTTTTCTAGAGGCAACTAGGCTTTCTGTTTTTTTTCTTTGAAGTCGTTTCGCTTCTCATCCAAGAAGCTTCTTCAGTTCTTCAGCTCTTCAGAAGCTCTGAAGAAGCTTCTTGGATGAGAAGCGAAACGTCTTCAAAGAAAAACAAGAAAGTCCAGTTGGCCTTTTGAAAAAGCCCCTTTGGGACAAAGCCATGACCTGGATGACTGAGAATCTCCACAGACACTTCCTAACAGTAAGAACCATCAACTACCGGTGGAACAACTTGCCTTCAGAAGTTGTGGGTGCTCCAACACTGGAGGCTTTTAAGAAGAGACTGAACAATCATTTGTCGAAAATGGTGTAGATTAGAGTCTCCTGCTTGAACAGGGGGTTGGACTAGAAGACCTCCAAGGTCCCTTCCAATTCTGTTCTTCTGTTAAATTAGACAGTGAGGCACTGCTGGAAGCAGAGCTGGATGAAAGGACAAAGGTTTCCAAAATGTCTTCTCTTAGCATTTGCTAGATACTCTTTCCATCATGAAAAGCTACTTTTTCTGCTGAGCCACTAAAGGAATAATGTAGTGGAGAAGCTATAGTCTCTATTCACATAAAAAAAAAAAACCTGAACTGAAGAAGCTTCTTGGATGAGAAGCGAAACGTCTTCAAAGAAAAACAAGAAAGTCCAGTTGCCTCTTGAAAAAGCTCCTTTGGGGCAACCGTGAACTGGATGACTGAGAATCTTCATGGACAGTTTTCTTTTCTTTTTTTCTTCCTCTCCTTTTGTAAAAGGCAAAATAGGCTAAGAGGTCACCAGGGTCACTTGGATGACCAATAGGGCTCCCAGAGAGCAGGGATGCTGCGTGTCCCCCGCCATCGCCAGAGGCCTTTCTTTTTCCCGCCATTTTCCCCTCAGCAATGTCTCTGGCTGAGGAGCTGCTCCCGTTTCCTCAGCCTCTCTGAGAGGCAGCAAGGGCAAGATGGAGGATAAGAGAAGCCCTCTGGCTGGAAAGGCCTCCCTTGCCCAGCCCGGCCCCCTTTCCTGGGGGAAGACATTGAGGGCCCTGATCACCCTCTGGCTTCTGAGGCATCAGAGGGAGGCCATCTTGCTTCCTTCTGCCAAGAATACAGCAAGAGGGAGGTTTCTATGGCTCTGGAGTGGCTCCCACTATGGCGCTTGGCCAGAGATGAAGGATCAGGATCGGGACCAGCACAGTTGTGTTTCTCAGTGAGGCACAAATTTAGATGCTACAGCATTAATTCCCTTTACAGATAGTCCTCAACTTACAACCATAACTGAGCCCAAAATTTCTGTTGCTAAGCAAGACATTTGCTAAGTGAGTTTTGCCCCATTTTATGACCTTTCTGGCCACCGTTGTTAAGTGAATCACTGCAGTTGTTAAATTAGTAACATGGTTGTTAAGTGAATCTGGCTTCCCCATGGGCTTTGCTTGTCAGAAGGTCGCAAAAGGGGATCACATCATCTCGGGATGCTGCAACCGTCATAAATATGAGTCAGTTGCCAAGCATCTGAATTTTGATCACGTGACCGTGGGGATGCTGCGACGGTCGTAAGTGTGAAAAATGGTTATCAGTCACCTTTTTCAGTGCCATTGTAACTTTGAATGGTCACTAAATGAATAGTTATACGTCGCGGACTACCGGTATTAAAGCATTTGAATTTTCTATAATTATGACTACAGAGGAACTCAAAGAAAATAGGGCAATTCACACTCTGAATTGAAAGAAAAATATTAAAAAAGGAAAGCTCATTTTTTTCCCCTTCTCCCAGCCCATGTTAAGCCAATAAAAATGCCTCGGTTGCTGGGCAGTTGGCAATCTGATTGTAGGGAGAGTAAAGAGATTTATTAGTGTTTGTTAAATTGATATCCCATATCACGATTGTCACAGAAGAGCAACTAAGATGATTAAGGGCCTGGAGACAAAAGCGTATGAAGAACGGCTGCAGGATTTAGGTATGGCCAGTCTGGAGAAAAGAAGGACTAGGGGGTGACATGATAGCACTATTCTAGTATTTGAGAGACTGCCACAAAGAAGAAGGAGTCAATTTATTTTCCAAAGCACCAGAGAATGGGACAAGAAACAATGAATGGAAACTAATCAAGGAGAAAAGTAACCTGGAATTAAGGAGAAGCTTCCTAACAATTAACCAGTGGAACAGCTGGCCATCAGAAGTTGTGGGTGTTTCTTCACTGGAGGTTTTTAAGAAAAGCCTGGACAGTCACATGTCTGAAATGGTACAGGCAGGTTTCCTGCTTGAGCAGGAGGTTGGGCTAGAAGACCTCCAAGGTCCCTTCCAGCTCTATGCTGATTCATCGATTGAGTAGTCATTCAGTAAGGCAGTGTTTCCCAAACTTGACAATTTTAAGGCATGAGGACTTCAACTCCCAGAATTCCACAGCCAGCAACGCTGGCTGTGGAATTCTGGGAGTTGAAGTCCACATGCCTTAAAATTGTCAAGTTTGGGAAACACTGCAGTAAGGTAAGAAAAGACAATCCTGAGCGTGATAGATTCACTAACTGTTGAACAAGAGACAAATCGTAATACGAATTTTAACAAGGGAGCCTCTCGTTATTTGTCCATATTAGGGTGTCCTAGTACGAGGAATAGCACAAATCTTGTAAGGAGAGGGGTGCACAGTCAGTCCTAGTACGCACTCTTGACTGAGCGTTTCCACTCCTTCTGGTGGCTCCAGTCTGAATGTCCACAGCAGGCTGGTAAAGATGTGGAAGAGCTCAATCCTTGCAAGGAGCTCTCCCAAGCAGGCCCGAACTCCTACACAAAAAGTAAAGGAAAAGCAGGAAATCAACACTAATCCACTGGGATTATTCATAAAGCATTTGATCCACTTTGCAACCACCCTAGGAAAGCAATTTGAGCTGGTGACAGAGCGTCAGAGAAGCATCCCAAGTTCCCCAAAGGGCTACGGTTGGTTACAGTTCAATGCAATCTGTAGTCCAGTTTATCTCGTTGTACGAGCATAGCTAGTGGAGTCATTAATGCTTTAAAATACAGTTATCAAGTGAATCTAAAAAAAATGGGATAATAGATAGATAATAGATAGATCAACTGCTTTGGCAATTTCATTTCTATTAAATATAAAACTTTTCATGCCCCATTTAAATCACAGAGGATAATGGGAAGTTTTTCTAGCCACTAGCCTTTTCCCACTCTTCCTTTCCCTGTTTCTTCCCTCTTTCTCTTTTGACGGCACTGAACACCCCCAAGAGTTCTGAGCTGACATGCAGATGATCCGCCCGTTGATCACTTTATATTTTCCCTGGAGTTCAAAATATTTCTAGCTCATATCACAGTAGCATTATTCCAACTTTCTATAACAAGGAAAAGAAGCTGTTATTTGGACAGGAGATTCTAAAGTGCCCAGAAAGAGAAGACGGGTACAAGAATTCCGCTAAAATGTGGTTGTTAAGTCCTCGAGTTAATGGCGAAAGAAGAGCACACATTCTGAAGCCAACAACTGCTTTATTCTTCTTCTGCTCACTCCAACACAACTCTGAGGCTCGCAGGCCTCTCTCACACTAAATAGAATCCCCGGGCAAAAAGGTTACATGAGATGGTGCGCTTTCGTGCCTTGCGCATGTGCGCAGGCTGGCGCCACTTAGTCTGGTCCCGGGCAGCTTGCAACAGCCCAGGACTATAGCAATGTCCCGAGCCTGATTTTGCAGGCTCAGGACACAACAGTGGTCATAGGGGTTTCTTCGGCAGACACCTTTGCCATCCTCAGGGGCTACCACTCTGCCCTTCAGTTCAAGACAGAGACTCAGGGATAGACCTGTTGAGGGGCTGCATATTTCACTTGAGAGTCCACTTGGCACTTTTCCTATAATGCAACCCAGTTACTTCAAGCCATTGCTGTTGTCATCCCACACTAGCAGCACCTGACATACTGTAGGGAGCTTGAATTTGCATCATGGTGGTTATCTCAAAGGTGCTTTTTCAGGAGGGAACTGGACTTTCTTGTTTTTCTTTGAAGACATTTCGCTTCTCACCCCAGAAGCTTCTTCAGCACTGATTAGATGGTGGGGGAATGGAAGGATTTATACTCCTTGCAGACAGCTGGTCATTTGCATTCTCTTAGAGAATCGTTGAGGCCACCTGGAGGTTCATCTGTGTCCTCAGAGTCACCTGAGTAGTGCAAATCGGTGTGGAGCCTTCTTGGAACTGCTGATGAAAAGGGTGTATTGTAGACTAGAGATAGATGATGTCATATCCCCCCCCCCTCTATTGACACCATCTATCTCTAGTCTACAACACAATCCTTTCAACAGTTCCAAGAAGGCTCCACACCCATTTTCCCTACTCAGGTGACCCTGAGGACACAGATAAACTAATAATAATAATGATGATGATGATGATGATGATGATGATGATGTAGACAAAATGCCAAATCCAGTCTGAACATCTGGCTGACTGTGCAATGATCCAAAATAATAATACTAAAGTTGGAAGGGACCTTGGAGGTCATCTAGTCCAACCCCCTGCTCGGGCAGGAAACCCTACACCATTTTGGACAAATGGCTGTCCAGTCTCTCCTTAAAAACTTCCAGTGTTGGAGCATTTACCGCTTCTGGAGGCAGGTTGTTCCACTGATTAATTGTTCTCACTGTCAGGAAGTTTCTCCGTAGTTCTAGGTTGCTTCTCTCCTTGATTAGTTTCCACCCGTTGCTTCTTGTCCTGCCTTCAGGTGCTTTCGAAAATAGCTTGATTCCCTCTTCTTTATGGCAGCCCCTGAGATATTGGAATACTGCTATCATGTCCCCCCTTGGCCTTCTCTTCGTTAAATTAGACATACCCAATTCTAGCAACCGTTCCTTATATGTTTTAGCCTCCAGTCCCCTAATCATCTTTGTTGCTCTTCTCTGTACTCTTTCTAGAATCTCAACATCTTTTTTACATCGTGGTGATCAAAACTGGATGCAGTATTCCAAGTGTGGCCTTACCAAGGCATTGTAGAGTGGCATTAATACTTCATGTGATCTTGATTCTATCCCTCTGTTAATGCAGCCTAGCACTGTGTTGGCCTTTTTGGCAGCCGCAGCACACAGCTGGCTCATATTTAGGTGATTGTCTTCTAGGACTCTGAGGTCCCTCTCACAGTTACTACTATTGAGCATGGTGCCACCTATGCTGTACTTGTGCATTTGGTTTTTCTTGCCTAAATGTAGAACCTTGCTTTTTTCACCATTGAATTTCATTTTGTTAGTTAGTGCCCAGTGTTCAAGTCTGTCCAGATTCTTCTGTATCTTAAGCCTGTCTTCTGGAGTGTTGGCTATTCCTGCCAGCTTGGTGTCGTCTGCAAATTTGATGAGTTCCCCATCTATCCCTTCGTCCAAATTGTTGATGAAGATGTTGAAGAGCACTGGGCCCAGAACAGAGCTCTGGGGCACCCCACTACATTAGGTGGCCTCAACAACTCTGTAAAAGAAGGCAAATGACCAGCTCTCTGCAAGGAATATAAATCCTTCCATTCCCCACCGCCCAGTCAGAGCTGAAGAAGCTTCTTGGATGAGAAGCGAAACGTCTTCAAAAGAAAAACAAGAAAGTCCAGCTGCCTCCTGAAAAAGCACCTTTGGAATAACCATGACCTGGATGATGGAGAATCTCCAAAGACATTGTGGTAGTTACTTTTACACTCCTTCCAACTGCAGTGAAGGTACCTAGCAGGCTGTTCTTTGCTGATGAACGTTCTTTTTCTTCTCTCATTTTCTCAAGTTGGAGCAAACTATTCTTTAAAGAATACCCAGAGGAAGAAACCATATCTGGGCCATTGTGAAAAGCTTCCCGGGATTCCTATTCACCTCCCACCTATTTCTGTTCATTCGTGAAGCCCACTTCAAGAAAAGCCATAGAGAAAAAGTGCCTCCAAGAACCCATTTCTATAGGCCTCTCCAGAAAGTCCATCTTGATGTCAGGAGAAATACGATTTCGGTAACCTCATGAACAGCAGTTCCCACAAGAGTAAGATTGACTGGAGTTAATTTAGCTGACTGCATTACTGAACCTGTACAGGGTAAATATAACTCCATGAGTTTTCTGGCTCAGTTAACTCTAATGAACACCAATCTTTCCCTCCATTGATCCGGTCACGTGTTGTGGAAAGAGAATCCTTACATTTTTACATTGCTCAAATCTCCAGATGTCACCAAGCAAATTTTTTTTTTTGCCTTTTTCACCCCCCTTTCTAAAATAAGCATCATTACTCATAACTGTACATTACCTGCTCCAAATGGAAGAAATGCTTCTTTTAACAAAAAATTCCCTTCTTTGTCCAAAAAATGATTTGGGTTGAACTCTTCAGGGGTTTCCCAATGTTCACGATCCGAAAGAACAGAACGGATGTCTGGAACAATAACAGCTCCCTGGAAGAAGGAAATCAGCTAACTTAAGCATTAGGACAGACGCGCCTCTTATTTCTCGGCTATTCCACTTCTCTCGCCCGAATGATTCAAACGCATTTTTTAAACTCCAAATACTTTTAATTGCACTTAAACTACAATTGCATGCATTTAATTTAGAAGAAGTGGGTTTAGCAACTTTAACGAAGAAGCTGAGATGAAGGTTGGGGTGAACCACAGGCTTGGTTGATTGCTTGATTCCAGAAATCCTTTCATACTCCTGCTCCATTTGAAGGGTGTTCATCCCAAAGTCCCCACAAACATTTAGCTGTTCACTTTGGGATGAGCACCCTTCGAAGGATGCAGGAGTATGAAAAGATTTCCAGGGAAAAAAATTGCAGACTACAAGATTCAGGTGACCCTGAGGGCACAGATAAACCTCAGAGTGGCCTCAACGACCCTCAGGGAGAATGCTAACAACCAGATGACTGCAAGGAATATAAATCCTTCCATTCTCTGCCATTCAGTCAGAACTGAAGAAGCTTATTGGATGAGAAGCGAAATGTTTTCAAGGAAAAAAACCCAAGAAACTCCAGTTGCCTTCTGGAAAAGCACCTTTGGGACAGGTTTTCAACTGCACATTTTCCGAGTTCACACACGGCATTAAGTATATTTTGCTTTGCCATGTTTGACTGACTCAACCCTGATTGGATGAATTCATACAATACTGTAAATTTACAAAACCATAAATTTACAACACACAAAGAGCGTACAAGTCAAAGTGTTGCTACAGCTAGAGCGACCCCTTAAAGTGCAACCCCAGGACTGCAAAAGGATCCATGTTCTATACCTTGGGGATGAGAAAACCTCTCAGATAGACGTCCTTCACACATTTTCTCGTCAGCCCATAAAATAAGGCATATTTATTTCGCATAATCTCATGAATCACGGCATTGGTGTAAGGTAGTGCTTTCTGATCTTTGTAAGAGATTGAGTGAGATGAACTGAAAAAGCCTTCCAGCTCTTTGTGTACTTTATCTGAGAAAGAGTGAAAAAGGAAGATTTATTTCAGATCCTGTAGTTTATCCCTGAAAAGAAATAAAGTGAACATTAAGAGATTATATACCACAGAGGAAAGAATTTAATAGAATTCCCATTAACATCCTAATATCAAGGACTGGAGGATTAGGATTGATCTGAGACTCAGGCACGCAACAAATTTTAGATTCCAATTGTGTTTTATGTTCCTCTGGAATAAGGGGAAACTTTACCACACAAAGTCAAACCTTCTCTTGTCCTATACTTCTGCTTATTTTATAGACCTTTATTTCTAAGTCAGGTTTTTATTATTTTGTTTTTCTTCCTAATTCCTTTTGTGTCCTGGTGTCAGGACCTGCCTCAAGTAGGTCTCCGAGAAAGCAGAACTCTTGAAACAGGCATTGTCTCAAAGGGAACTTTTTGTTGAGAGTTAGTGGTAGCGAGGAAGCAAAGTGAGGTCTGAGGAAATAGCGTGCACCAACAGTATATCAAAAGCAGAATTCGTTACTCCTCCCTCCAGGGTCCCACTGTCTGTTTGAATCGCAGCCAATCCACAGGTGGTATATTATTTTGGTAACTGGCTCCTTAGGCACGCTCTTCAAGGTCTCTCTTGGTTTCATTTCCCTCCGGCTCCAAGCGCAACCCGTCGTCCAGATAAGGGTGATGTTATTCGGCTGCATTCCTTCCCCTGGGAGAAGAGCAATGTGGCATGGGCAAAGCAAAGCATATTGTACTATCCCCGCAACAGATTTCCCCCTCCCAACAGAATGGCAGGGCCCCCAAAATGGTTATAGAGCATCTATAGATTAGCAAGAATAGTAATACATTTCTTTGGCACCTGGTTTCCTGCCTTTTTACACAAATAACAGGTAGGAACAGAATGCAAATGTAAAGAAACTAAAGAAAAAGTCGACCACCTAGTTAGTTGCTACAAGATGATTGCACAGACTGGCTACAAACCACGGCAAGACAAATTAGCATTGTAGCATCAGCAAGAAACACTTTTTGAAACAGGCTGCTGATCTACATCACTTTGTCCCACCTTGGATATCCAGATGAGTTGCCATGAGAAGCAACGCCCATAGTAGAGAAGCTGAAGTTGTATCTGTCCCAGCAATCAAGAGGTCAAAAACACAGTGAGTCAAGTTGTCTTCATCATAAGTAGAATTGGGATCATCTTTGCTCTAGGAATAATAATAATAATAATAATAATAATAATACCACCACCGAGGGACTAATTCTGGCTGCACAAGACCAAGCCTTAAGGATAAATGCATACAAAGTCAAAACTGAGAAGACAGCAACAGACAGTAAGTGCCGCCTATGCAGAGAAGCTGAAGAAACAGTGGACCACCTGGTAAGCTGCTGCAAGAAGATTGCACCGACTGACTACAAGCAGCGGCATGACAAACTAGCAACAATGGTGCATTGGAATATCTGCAAGAGATATCACTTGCCTGCAAACAAGAACTGGTGGGACCATAAAATAGAGAAAGTCATAGAAAATGAAAATGTTAAATTGCTCTGGGACTTTAGAATTCAAACAAACAACACCTGCCACATAACACTCCAGACTTAACAAATGTCAATAAGAAAAGTCTGGATAGTGGACATGGCAGTGCCTGGAGACAGCAGAATAGACAAGAAAGAACTGGAGAAAATAACAAAATACAAAGACCTACAAATAGAAATAGAAAGACTGTGGCAAAGGCAAGCAAGGGTAGTACCAATAGTAATAGGCGCCTTGGGTGCAATCCCAAAACAACTGGAGCACCACTTGAACACCATTGGCATTGACAAATTCCCCTTTAGTCAATTGCAAAAGGCGGCCTTACTGGAAACTGCTTCCATCCTGCGACGATATCTGTAATACCATCAAACATCCACATCTGCCTATCCCAGGTCCTTGGTAAGGACTCGATAGGTAGACAAAAATGCCAAATCCAGTCTTAACATCTGGCTGACTGTGCAATGATTAACAACAACAACAACAATGATGACAACGATGACGACGACGATGATGATGAAATGGTATTGTTACTAAATGCTTCCCCAACCTAATGTCTCCTGGTTCTACTCCATGGGCCATCTTGTCTGGGGAAAAGAGGACTTGAAAACCATCCAAGTTAATAGGTATCATCACCAACTCTTACAATAATGGAGTCCATCAGTTAATTATGTGGTATATGAAGATTTGCTTTCTTGTGCCTGTTCTAATTTTCCTTTCTATGAGTTTTATTTCAAGAACCCAGTTCCTAAAGTTTGAAGAGAGAGAGGGAAAGTTTTTCCTGTTTTCTTTAATACATATAGATCATGACCCTTAGTTGTAACATATTTAAGCTAAAAGCTTTTTAACATTCAACCTTCTCCTATTAAGGAAGGTGATTTACCATTTTAGCTCTGCCACGCCCTGTAGACTTACCTCACAGGGCTCCCATTACACAGTCTGGCTCCTGCTGACCCAGCAGTTCAAAAGCAGGCAACCGTGAGCAGATACCACTTTGGTGGGCAATTTAATGGGAATGTGAAATGAACCCCCACGTGGGCGTCCCCCAAGCGCTTCTATGCTCCTGACACGACCGTAGTAATAGTATCCCAGAGAAAAATCTATGTGATTGTTAAAAGTAGAAAACTGACTGGGTGGTACATAATCATTTTTTTAAACAAGTTTTATTAATTTTCCATTTTAACAAAGCTTTAGGTATTAAGGAAGCAACTTGGTGGTTGGGTAATACATAATCCAATAACGCATTTTTCCACACATATATCAGTTTACAGCATCAAAAATTTCCTCTCTGTTTCCCTTAGTTATTATACCAAATTTCAGATTAATATGTTCATATTAGTAAAGTTGGAAGGGACCTTGGAGGTCATCTAGTCCAACCCCCTGCTCGGGCAGGAAACCCTACACCATTTCGGACAAGTGGCTGTCCAGTCTCTTCTTAAAAACTTCCAGTATTGGAGCATTTACTGCTTCTGGAGGCAAGCTGTTCCACTGATTAATTGTTCTCACTGTCAGGAAGTTTCTCTTTAGTTCTAGGTTGCTTCTCTCCTTGATTAGTTTCCACCCGTTGCTTCTTGTCCTCCCTTCAGGTGCTTTCGAAAATAGCTTAATTCCCTCTTCTTTATGGCAGCCCCTGAGATATTGGAATATTGCTACCATGTCCCCCCTTGTCCTTCTCTTCGTTAAACTAGACATACCCAATTCTAGCAACCGTTCCTTATATGTTTTAGCCTCCAGTCCCCTAATCATCTTTGTTGCTCTTCTCTGTACTCTTTCTAGAGTCTCAACATCTTTTTTGCATCGTGGTGACCAAAACTGGATGCAGTATTCCAAGTGTGGCCTTACCAAGGCATTGAAGAGTGGTATTAATACTTCACGTGATCTTGATTCTATCCCTCTGTTAATGCAGCCTAGCACTGTGTTGGCCTTTTTGGCAGCTGCAGCACACTGCTGGCTCATATTTAGGTGATTGTCTACTAGGACTCCGAGGTCCCTCTCACAGTTACTACTATTGAGCATGGTGCCACTTATGCTGTACTTGTGCATTTGGTTTTTCTTGCCTAAATGTAGAACCTTGCTTTTTTCACCATTGAATTTCATTTTGTTAGTTAGTGCCCAGTGTTCAAGTCTGTCCAGATCCTTCTGTATCTTAAGCCTGTCTTCTGGAGTGTTGGCTATTCCTGCCAGCTTGCTAGTTATAGCTCAATCATTTAAAACATTTATCAACAACTTTTGATTTGTATGCCTTCAAATCCTGTTTTTAACTTTTACCTGGTTTCAATTACAGTATTCCAGTTAGCTTAATGTCCGTAGTATTTAAATTTCGGATAGCCCAAGGTTCCCTTAGTTCATTACAAAATAGTTATCATTTCTAAAATAGACTTATATTTATTCAGATAAATTCTAAGTTTATTCCATAATCATATTCATCGCTTGCTAATAAAATAACTTTTATCCTCTGAGTCCATCTTCTATGTTATAATTCAAAACTATTATTCTAGTAATTAATTTATTTCCCTTATAAATATAAATCCTAAATATTACATCAATTGATATCTTTTAAAATCTCCTTATCCCATTAAGTACGATTTAAAGCTCTTCCATTAGAGGTCACATAAAGAAAACCATTTTTAAGTCTAACTCTGGCCTTCCTTTTGTGCCAAACAGGTTTCCATAACAGGGCTTTTAAATCCTTGAATAGATCTCCCTTCATTCCTGCATATGTCATTTGAATCAATGGAGACCATCCAGTCACCAGCCTGTCAGAGAAGCTAATCCCTTCATAGTCATTAAATTGTTGGCCTGATAGTTTAAATCTCCATATTTGGCTTAATGTATTTGTCATGAGTTCAGGCTGATCTGATTTCAGCTGGTTTTGATGAAAGGTCATATTCAGTGTTGTAGTTGTTTTTTGGTCGTATGGGTTATCTGAATTCTCAGTGCATGGTGTATTTAAGTCTTCAGCATCTTCCGTCTTAGTGTTGTTTTCCTCAATTACTGTTGTTGTTGAAGTTGCAAATTCTTTGGATGCAATTAAAGTTTGGATATTAAAGTTCTGAGTAGATTGTAGCTGGCATTCTTTGAAATCCACTTTCATATTAATTCCTTCTTCTTCTGTTGTATTTTGGGTTGTAAGTTCATCTATTGAGGTCAGGGCTGCGTTTTGTAGCTATAAGGTGGTACGTATATCTTTCAGTCTGGAATTCATTTGCTCAGTACCCTCTAAGATTTTTTCAAGTATAAATTTGAAGTTAAGCTGTGGGTGGTGTTCCTCCATTTCTGTGGTATTTGCAAATAGTCCTTTAGTGGAGGCTATTTTTAATAAAAGCCAATAGGAATCCACCTCCACTGTAGAAAATTATTTTTACCACCCAGCTGTTTCAGGTTCTTATCTTTTTTGATAATGTCAAGGACAAATTTTAGTCTCAGAAGTCTCCCAGTTTAAAAAAAAAAAATTCACTTGCTGTACCATGTTTCGCCACAAGATGTCCCTAGTGCCATGCACAATTAAGCTGTTATCCACTTCAAAGAAGAAAAAAAGAAATATTCCTCTTTTTTTCCAGCTTAGCAAACGAACAAAACAATAAGTCTCTGTAAGAATAAAGAACTTTTTGAGAGCCCAGGTATCCAGAAATTACGTCCAAATATTTAGTCATTTAGTCTAGCTGTTCTATTTTTTTTCCTTGCCTTAGCTTTACATTCCCAAAGTAGGCAGGAGCCGCAGAATTGAGAAGGGGGAAGAAGGTATTCACAGGCTTTTACAGGAAAATAGATGGGAAACAGGAAAGGTAAGGTCTCACCCAACTCCTCCAGGTTGCTTTCGTCATGCTTACTAGTGCTTTGGGCTTTCGGCAGGAACGGCTTAGTGATCGGCCATGTTAATGGCCGATCTTTTCTTTGTTGGTCCAGAGGAGCTGCCTCGGATCCAACGGAAGGGTTGCTGCTCGTCGAGGGTCCTCCTCAGTGGTGGTCGCCCTCCAGGGCGACTTTCGACCCTTTGCAGGGTCTTCCGACAAAGAAGGACCGGACAGCTGGGAGAGCAGCCTCTCTAGACGTCTGCCGGAGCCGCGATCACAAACTGGAAGCCGGGTGGTACATAATCATTATCAATTGCTATTTTAGTGTCCTCTTGGGCACTTTGCCCAGCTGTAGTGTATTTTTTTCAAAATGTGGCAACCGGCGCTATACCCACTATTCCAAACTTGCATATGATTTAAAGAACAGTATTGTTATGTTGGCATTTTTTGTTTCAATCTCTTTTCCAATTGGATTTTCCTTTTTATATGCCAATTGCACACTGAGTTACCCCTTCCACTGAACTGCCATTATTTGGCATTGGAAAATAGTCTTTTTGCTGCTCAGTTGCAAACCACTCAAGCCACATCAATGTAGATGTGAACTTTCCCCATTGTGCGTCATCTGGCATCATTTAAATTTAACCAGTCATAATGAAAATAATGAACACATTCTACTTGTTTCTTCCCTCCGTAGAGAAAACTGCTGAGTCTTTACAGTGCTGCAGAAGTACAGATCCAGTTTCCCAAAGGTACATCACTGTGGGCAATTTTGAATTTTGAGCACCCACTTTAAAGCATTCAAGCCTTCCCCCGGATAGCCACACACTCCAAAGCACTTTTCTTCAGATATAATCAGAATTCTTGAGCAATTGGAACATTCGTTCATATTAACAGAATAACAGAGTTGGATGGGATCTTGGAGGTCTTCTAGTCCAACCCCCTGCTCAAACAGGAGACCCTATATCATTTCAGACAAGTTATTGTCCAATCTCTTCTTTAAAACCTCCATTGTTGGAGCATTCACAACTTCTGGAGGCAAGCTGTTCCACTGGTTAATTGTTCTCACTGTCACGAAATTCCTCCTTAGTTCTAGGTTGCTTCTCTCCTTGATTAGTTTGCATCCATTACTTCTTGTTCTGCCTTCAGGTGCTTTGGAGAATAGCTTGACTCCCTCTTCTTTCTGGCAACGCCATAAATACTGTAATTTTGGTATCATGTCACACCTAGTCCTTTTTTTCATTAAGCTAAACATACCCAATTCTTTTATTTCTATTTTTAAAATCTATCAGCTATCCATACAAGGACAGGGCCAATGGCTTTGTGACTCTAGAACGTTTGAGGAGGAACATTGTCAAATGCTTTTTAAAACAGTTCATTCTGGCCTCAATTTTTTTTAAAGAAAACAATCAAATATTACCAATCACTCAAGGAATCTTCTGATTGATTCTGTATGCCCAGTCACAGAATACATTGTTTCTTCATCCAGCAATATTCCCAGGTATTATCAGATACTTACTTTCTCCATTTGAAGGAGATAGAAATCAGTTAAATCTTGAGGTTCGTGCAGACTTGGGTATTCCTTATGCTGTTTGATCTCCTTTTTTATAAATGAAAGAATCATCTCTGCAGAAAGTGAGATAGTCTGGTGAGGGCCTGGCAGATGTTTCATTATATGTGGGAAACATTCATAGAGCTACCAAAAGGAAAAGGATGGGGAGAATGAGTGCAGTTAAAATTTTGGACTATAAATTGCAAAATTAAGATTCAAGATAAAGTAGACGGAGATAGATAATCTAGACAGGTAATCTACATGTAGTCCTTGACTTACGACCCCAATTAAGCCCAGAATTTATGTTGCTAAGCGAGAAATTTCTTGAGTTGTGTCCCATTTTACGACTTTTCTTGCCACATTTGCTAAATGAATCACTGCAGTTGTTAAATTAGTAACACGGTCATTATCTGATTAAATAAGAACTTCTGTTAATGAGCATAGAGCTAGTGTTCTGGAAAATTCCAAATTAACTCAGGTGAGAAGGAGAATAGAATAGAATAGAATAGAATAGAATAGAATAGAATAGAATAGAATAGAATAGAATAGAATAGAATAGAATAGAATAGAATAGGATAGGATGGGATGGGATGGGATGGGATGGGATGGGATGGGATGGGATGGGATGGGATGGGATGGGATAGCGTAGGATAGCGTAGGGTAGCGTAGGGTAGCGTAGCGTAGGGTAGGGTAGGGTAGAATGGGATGGGATGGGATAGGATAGCATAGGGTAGGATAGGGTAGAAGAGAAGAGGAGAGGAGAGGGTAAGGTAGGGTAGGGTATAGGAGAAGAGAAGAGAGAAGAGGAGAGGAGAAGAGAAGAGAAGAGAAGAGAAGAGAGAATGGAATGGAATAGGATAGGATAGGGTAGGGTAGGGTATAGGAGAAGAGAAGAGAAGAGAAGAGAAGAGAAGAGAAGAGAAGGGCGTGGCATGGCGTGGCGTAGGGTAGGGTTGGGTAGGGTAGGGTAGGGTAAGATAGAATAGAGTAGAATAGAATAGAATAGAATAGAATAGAATAGAATAGAATAGAATAGAATAGAATAGCTTTATTGTCACTTTGAATGTACACTAATCGGTATACATTAAAATGAAATTTCATGGCATACAGCTCTCAAAGGGTCACCACATAAATATGACAAAAATAAATAAATAAATACAGAATTATTCCTACACTCACATATATCATATGACACAGAGAAACAACAGTCTAATTCGGGTTATGTATACATGTGCAAGAAAAACGAATCTTGCGAGCTTACCAGACAGATGGCATTACCCTATTAGAGAACCGGGGAGTCCTGCTGGAAATACTTCAAAACCTCCTCTCAGAGAGGAGCAAGAGAAACAGACCGTAAAGCAAGAATACTGCTACTTACTGCGTAATAGAAGGTGGTTCCAAATTTTAAGACATTAAAACTGGCTTCCATCAGCTTCGCAAAGTTTTTGTCTTCAACAGAAAAGCGATGTCCAAAAGCTTGAGCACAGATTACATTGCAGACCGATTTCATGATGGGAAGGGAGGGGTCAAACGGCTGCCCTGAAAACAAAATTAATAGCCACATGAATTCTCCTTCTCCTGATTATGCCAAAATTGAGGTGTCTGGCAGACCTTATTAGAAGAGGAAAGGTTGGGAGTCCTTATTTATTTTTGATAAACTGACTTTCTGTTGAGAATGTGAAATTCACAGGCTATAGCATAACCAATATCTTATGCCCCCAAAAATTTCAATATTCTTGACTCTACCCCAGATTTCTTAATCACTGGGAAGTCAATCATCATCATCATCATCATCATAATAGTAGTAGTAGTAGTAGTAGTAGTAGTAGTAGTAGTGTAGTAGTAGTAGTAGTAGTAGTAGTAAAGTTGGAAGGGACCTTGAAGGTCTTCTAGTCCAACCCCCTGCTAAAGCAGGAGACCCTATACCAGGGCTAGGCAACCTTGGCTCTTTTATGACTCGTGGACTTCAACTCCCAGAATTCCTGAGCCAGCATGGGGGAACTATGGCTCCTTCATGACTTGCGGACTTCAACTCCCAGAATTCCTCAGCCAGCGTGGGGGAACTATGGCCCCTTCATGACTCATGGACTTCAACCAGAATTCCTGAGCCAGCATGGGGGAACTATGGCCCCTTCATGACTCGTGAACTTCAACTCCCAGAATTCCTGAGCCAGCATGGGGGAACTGTGGCCCCTTCATGACTGGTGGACTTCAACTCCCAGAATTCCTGAGCCAGCATGGGGGAACTATGGCCCCTTCATGACTGGTGGACTTCAACTCCCAGAATTCCTGAGCCAGCATGGCTCAGCTTGGAAACCTCTCTCTTTCCCCTCAGCATGGCTGGCTCAGGAATTCTGGGAGTTGAAGTCCACAAGTCATAAATAGCACAGGTTGCCTACCCCTGCCCTATACCCTTTCAGATAGGTGCCTGTCCAGTCTTTTCTGAAAAACCTCCAGTGGTGAATCACCCACAATTTTTAAAGGCAAGCTGTTCTGCTGGTTAATTGTCCTCACTGTTAGGAAGATTCTCTTTAGTTCTAGGTTGCTTCTCTCCTGGATTAGTTTCCATCCATTGTTTCTTGTCCTGCCTTCAGGTGCTTTGGAGAATAGGTGGAACCCCTCTTCTTTGTGGCAGCCCCTCAAATGCTGAAATACTGCTATCATGTCCCACTTAGTGCTTCTTTTCTCTAGGCTGGCCATACCCAATTTCTGCAACCATTCTTTATATGTTTTAGTCTCCAGGCCCTTAAGCATCTTAGTTGCTTAGCTCCTAGCCTCAACCACCACCTGTTCTTGAACAGGAGTTGTGACTCCAGGAGAAGACCCAGATTACCAGATCAGGCTCTAAATGTAGATTGTTAGACACATTATTAGGCTTATTACACATAAGAACATGTTCTGTAGTCAGACTTCAATAAGATGTTTGAAGTCTAAAGTCTCCTTTTTGATAAAATAGAACAGTGTGAGATAGAGGCTCCCGTTACCAGACAGATTTCCTGCTGGTTGTATAGTCAGAGCCTTAATAATTCTATCTCAATATGAAGAGTAATTCCCCCTGTGTGACGTGGCTAAAATAAGCGAGACACACTTTTGTGATGTTTGCCTTCTGGTGACCTGTCTGGTGTTAATGGCTCCAGTACAGTTATACTCAAGCCAACATCATCATCATCATCATCATCATCATCATATCGCATACCCTTTTTATCTGCAAAGAATTCCACAAGCTGTTGGGCTTCCTCTTGGATTTGGGATTCCATGCCACTTTTCCCCAGTCCCAACATCCTCATGGTAACAACACCAAACCGTCTTTGTTGTTTCCAGGTGTGACCGTTTGAAAAAATAATACCTAAAGCCATCAAGGAACACCAAAAAGGGATTGTTCACAAAAAAATCCCAAGCCACACATGCAATTTATGCTCCTGCACTGAAAAATCCATCACTTTCCACCCAGCTTTGATATTGAATAGTAATCTATGTCTAAGAAAATGTGGACAACCAACAATCCTTATGGAAAACATGGAGCTCTAATCACATGGAAAGCTTTGACTGATACCAAGGGAAGTGATATTACAGAATTTCACCTTGCCTGCATGAGAGTTCTGTGGACACTTTTAACCTCGCAAATGTGCTACTTTCTACTTTCCCATCTACTTTCTGTACGTTCAAGGCTCCTTACACCTCACATAAATATCGGAGAGAAATCTTTCAAAAATATTCTTATGAATGCAGTCAGATGGCTATGTTTAAGCATACGCATATTTCCTCCATCATTTTCAAATGAGACCTGTTCTACCTTGATTTGTCTATGAAAAAATGTTCATTTACTGATCTCGTTCCTCATGGAATTCACTCCATCCTCTCCCTCATGAGAGTAAATTGCAATTTCCCAATTTCCCAAAACCAAGAATTGCTTCTAAGCAGTTTTCTTTGTTGTTCCTTATCTATAGACAGACATTTTGCCAAATTACCGTATATGCCGGCGTATTAGGCGACCCGGCGTATAAGACGACCCCCGTCTTTATCGCCGAGCCGCATTCCTAGAACGTCGTCTTATACACCGGAAACTACCAGTATTTCCGCCGTATAAGACGACTCGGCGTATAAGACGACCCCCGTCTTTGGTGCCGAGTTTAGCGCTTCCGGAAGTCGTCTTATACGCCAGCATATATGGTACTTGCATAATTAAAGACAGACACTGAGAACTTTTAAGGAGGCGCTATCTCAACCCTCTTTCTACCAAACTATCTAAACTTTGCTGTCTCTTGGTCCTCTGGACCCCTCCCTCCTGGGACTCCAGACTGGGCCTGTGACAATTCGCCCCAGTCAATTCATTATGGCCAATACACAATGGCCAAGTTGCCACGGCCATCTTGCCACAGTCAACTCACTGTGGGACAACTCGCCATGCCACTTCGCCACAGGACAACTCACTGGGGACAAGAGTTATACTAATATCAAAGAAATAGTGGGATAGAATCATTAAAGAAAGGATGCCAAAGGAGGGACAGAATGAAATGTGAATGGCAAAAATTAAAATATATTTTTATTTATTTTAAATAATTAAATATAATTGTTAAATTCTCCTGTAGTGAGTTCTCCCATGGCAAGTTGGCTGTGGTGAGTGGTCCAGCAGTGAGTTGGCTGTAGTGAGTTGGCCATGGTGAGTTGGCCATGGTGAGTTGGCTATGGTGAGTTGGCCGTGGCGAGTTGGCCGTCGTGAGTTGGCTGTGGCGGGTTGGCCTTGGTGAGTTGGCCATAGTGAGTTGGCCGTGTTGAGTGGCCGTGCTGAGTTGTCCATGGTGTGTTGTCCATGGTGTGTTGGCTGTGGCGAGTTGGCCGTGGCGAGTTGGCCGTGGTGAGTTGGCCGTGGCGGGTTGGCCATGGTGAGTTGGCCGTGGCGGGTTGGCCATAGTGAGTTGGCCGTGCTGAGTGGCCGTGCTGAGTTGTCCATGGTGTGTTGGCCATGGTGAATTGGCTGCAGCGAATTGGCTATGGGAAGTTGTCCCATTCCGACCCAGACTACATTCTGGCTTTACTATAGACTACACTCCACCACATGCTTGATTTATTTTACCAACCAGGTGTGACTGCCTACGTCCTCACTATATGGTTGAAAAATACAAAGCAATAGGTACTGGCATATTTCATATTTACTGGCAGATATGAAAGCTAAGGAAAACGTGGGTTTCTTTTCACGAGATGCTTCTCCAGACCTCACCAGGACAACACTACTATCGTCCATGTTGATTTCAGTGCCACAATGCAACAAGACAGAACAGAGTAACTCCCTGCAGTTTTGACTTACCCTTGGTTTTGGTGATCTCTGAAATAAAAGGTGACACTGGGCGATCAGCAAAGAATTCTGAAGTCTCAATCAGTGCCTCTTTCACCGCTTGGTATCCAGAGAAAATGATCAAATGGAAATTGCCTGCCCACATAGAATAGACATTCCCATAATGCTTTGCCAGCTGCAGTTTGGAACAGGGAAAAACAATGTTCTCTATTAATACACCTAATTGGAGACGAATATGAAACTTCAGTTTGTTTCCTATTTCTTGCCTTTTACCTTCCCTTTTCACACTATGTTTGTCTAGAACTCACCAGGATAGCTGTTATCCAACTAATCAAAGAGAGACCCAGCCTCCAACTAAGGAGAAATTTCCTGACAATTAAGATTTAAGATAACCTTTACTGTGGGCTCACTGGCACACATTAAAAATGAAAATTTGTTGCCTGTTCTCAAAAGAAAGTATATATCTACCTATACACATAATAATACATTCTATATCAGTGGTTCTCAACCTGTGGGTCGGGACGCCATTTGGGGTCGAACGACCATTTCACGGGGGTCGCCAAACAACGCAGTCCGCCATTTTCCCCCCCTTTTCCTTAGCTGTGCTACTCCCTTTTATTCTATTGGCTTTTGAAAGCCAATAGAATAGCCTCTCTTGAATAGAGTCTAATTCTATTGGCTTTCAAAAGCCAATAGGAATTGTCCAGGCTGTCTCTGCCCTGCTGAGCCCGCCCAAAGTCCCATTCTGCAAACAGTGCTGCACCAGTTGAGTAGTCCTCGACTTACGACCGGTTGAGTAGTCCTCGACTTACGACTGGTTGGGGGGTCGCGGCATTAAAAAGGTTGAGAACCACTGTTCTATATCTATATCTATATCTATCTAGAGAGAGAGAGAGAGGGAGGGGGGGAAAGATGGAAGTTTTATTGTTTCTTTCTCTTTTGTTGCAGGCAGGCCAGAGGAAGAGAGGGTAGTTTGGAGAGTTTTAATTCGTTTCCCTCATTGCAGTAAGGTAGGCAGAGCGAGAGTTAGGGAAGAGTTTGACATACATCTTTTAGTGGGAGATAAGGGGTTTTTTCTTTATAGGATCAGCTGGGGGAGATAAAAAGGGATTACATGGAGTGAGGTCAGAAAGGAGTGAGGAGAGCGGACAAGGGAGGCCTCTGCCAGTGCCAGAGATTGGTTGCCATTGTTCTAGGCAAGTTGTTGTCATCAAAGACAGATTAACATCGTTCTGGGCAAGTTGTTGCAAGATGCTGCTCAAGCATCTCTTACCTGCCAAGTCCTGGATAGAAGGGAGTGAACTACCCATAATCTTTTCTGCCATCCTCACCACTCTCTGCAGCACCATCCTGTCTGAAGCAGTGATGCTTCCAAACCAGACAGTAATGTAATATGACAGGATGCTCTCTCACACAAAGTTTATTATTACAGCCATAGGCCAATTAGCTCTCTTGAAGTCCAAGACGCTAGTTTGACTGTGTTCTATTGGTTGTGCTTCCATAATGTTGAATTCCAATATTGCATGATCATTTCCTCCCAGGGTCCCTATGGCTTCAACACCTTCTATCATTTCATCTCTGTTAGTGAGAATTGCATCCAAAATGGCTAATCCCCTAGTTCCCTTCTCTACTTTTTGGGAGACAAAGTTGTCTGCTAGGTTTGCCAGGAACCTGTTTGATCTTCCACTTGGTGCGGAGTTTGTCTCCCAGTTGATGTCAGGGCAGTTAAAGTCCCCCATTACTATTGTGATGTGCTTCCTACAAACAGTACCTTAGGTAGCTGGCTAGCAAAAAGTTCATCTATTTCCTCTGTTTGGTTGGGTGGCCTGTAGTATACACCTAGGGCAATGTCATTTCCCCCCCTTTTATATTGACCCAAATGCATTCAAGACAGTTTTTATCATTGTTGTGCTCTATTTTTGTAAAGATGTAGTTATTTCTTATATAGAGAGCAACTCCACCTCCTCTTTTATTTGGTCTGTTTCTTTTAAATAATTTAAATCCCTCTAGCTGTGTGTTCCATGTGTAGGTTTCATCTCACCATGTTTCCGTAATGGCAACAATATCGTATCTGCCCTCATTAACCTGAATTTCTAGTTCATCCTGTTTGCTGTTCATACTCTGTGCATTGGTGTATAGACATTTGAGTCCTTTATGACTGACCCTGTTTTTACTTTCTACATAACCTGTGTGGTGCCTGAGTTCCCCTATTGTCTTATCACCTATTTGATTAGTGCACGTTGTATGGCACTCGCTATTAGAGGCTTTATTTTGCTTGACAGCGAGGTTGGTATTCTTGTCCACACACACATCTATGTTACATACACTGATAGCCCTATAATTTTTAGATTGCCGGGGACAGGGTTGTTCTGTATCATTTAACTCACTGTCCCCGCTGTTTAGTTTAAATTTTTCTCCAGAAAATCTATGAATTTATAGCCAAGTAACTCAGTCCCTTTCTTTGATGGATGCAAACCATCTCTTTTGTACATCTTTTCATTGGACTAGCTACAGACATTGTGACTAATATATCCGAAGCCTTCCCCTTTACACCACTCCTTTAGCCACATATTGAATTCTGCTATATGCTGGCCTTTTCCATTTTGCTCCTTATACACTGGTAAAACCTCTGAAAAAGTAAGCCTACAGCCTATTCTGCTAAGTTCCTGTATCTGAGTTTCATCTTCAAGATCTGGCCTTCTAAAGGGCAGTCGGGGTTGACCTCCTCTAGGACTGACCGGTTTGATTGCCTTGCAGTCCAGGGGACTCGCAGGAGTCTTCTCCAGCACCAGAATTCAAAGGCCTCCATTCTTTGGCGCTCAGCCTTTCTTATGGTCCAACTTTCACAGCCATACATTGCAACTGGGAAAACCATGGCCTTGATTATACGTACTTTTGTTGGCAGGGTGACGTCTCTGCTTTTTAGTATGCTGTGTAGATTTGCTATAGCTTTCCTCCTCAGGAGCAAGCGTCTTTTAATTTCTTGGCTGCAGTCCCCATCTGTGTTGATCTTGGAGCCCAGGAAAATAACATCTGTCACTACCTCCATTTCTTCTCCATTTATTTGTCAGGAATTGAGAGGGCCGGATGCCATGATTTTGGTTTTCTTAATGTTGAGTTTCAAGCCAACTTTTGCCCTCTCCTTCTTCACCCGCATCAAGAGGCTCTTTAATTCCTCTTCACTTTCTGCCCTTAGAGTGGTATCATCTGAATATCTTAGGTTGTTGATATTTCTCCTGGCAATCTTAATTCCAACTTTTGTTTCATCTAGCCCTGCCTTTCTCATGATGTGCTCTGCATATAAGTTAAGTAGGTAGGGTGACAGTATACAGCCTTGTCGGACTCCTTTCCCAATTTTGAACCCATCAGTGGTTCCGTGTCCAGTTCTCACTGTTGCTTCTTGACCCGCATATAGGTTTCTTAAGAGACAAATAAGATGGTCTGGTTCTCCCATCTCTTTAAGAACTTGCCACAGTTTGTTGTGATCCACACAATCAAAGGTTTTAGCATAGTCAATGAAGCAGAAGTAGACATTTTTCTGGCACTCCCTAGCTTTCTCCATGATCCAGCGCATGTTGGCAATTTGATCTCTAGTTCCTCTGCCTCTTCGAAATCTGATATTACAACTTGTTATTGTCTAAAGGAGACTTGGCTTGAAGCGCAGACTATAGATAAGACTTTTGCAACTTTGCCAGATATTATCTGTGAGAAACCCAGCTGTGTTTTATACTCAGTAACAAAATTATTTTCATTCTCTGATCGTAAAGCTTTTAATTTAACACACCACTAAGAGAACATGGAAGAAGATCAGGAACAGATTCTGTTTATGTTGAAAGCAATTTATGAAACTATTCTTACAGCTAATCATTGAGACCCATAATCATAGACTTTTTGGACACTGGCAAAATAATGGCCACCTTGAAACACGATGGGACCACTGCCTGCTGCAGTGAAAGATTGAAAATATCTGTAACAACACAAGTGAACTTGTCTGCACATTCCCTAAGAATACACAAAGTGATATTATCTGGGCCTGCTGCTTTCCTAATGTTAACTTTCTGCAATGTCCACCGAACAGAGGTAATATAAAAGTTAAACACTTGCTTGTTAAGATGGGAGACAGGGCTGCTATTTGATGCCTCAAATCTACCAAAACAAAAATGTGTTCCGGTCATTTAAAAAGTCTGTGTCGCCTTTACCACACAATGGAGCCATCTGGATGCCCTGTCACATACGCCTGTGTTTGTTGGATCCTGAAAAAAGTTCTGAATTTTCCAACAATGGGCTTGTTTTGCTCCTTTTATGGCATTTTTCGAATTAGGTCTGGCTCTGGATTTAAAAGCCACATTCCAAGATTTCAACACCTTGTGAACCTCATATGTCATCCACAACAATGTTTTTAAGGACACAGACATCCTCAATGCACTTTTGAATATATGCAGACACAGTGGTGGCATAATCCTCTACATTTGGCATAATCCTCTACATATGTTGGTTATCTGTTGCCACGTCTTTAAACATACCCAATCCATGCACTCAAAGCAATCTTCTATAGCAGTGATGGCGAACCTTTTAGAGACCGAGTGCCCAAACTGCAACCCAAAACCCACTTATGCATCGTCGGGTGCCGGGTGGGTGTGGCCATTGGGTGGGTGTGGCCCATTGGGTGGGTGTGCCTGCGGTGGTAATGGCAGATTGGGTGGGACTAAAAAGTTCAATCAATCAATTCCAACTTTGCAAGATCTTCTTTTTTACTGCGAGAAGTTGAAATTGACTGATTGATTGAACCTTTTTTTTTTTTTTTGCACACAGTGGCAGAGGCCTAAAGCGAAAAGGTTTTATAAAACCCAGCTGAAGGCCTAGGACTGGGGCAACGGCACGCATGCCCACAGAGAGGGCTCTGAGTGCCGCCTCTGGCACCCGTGCCATAGGTTCGCCACCACTGTTTTATAGCTTCCTTGGATCATCAGCCCTCATCCTATGCAAACTGTCTGTCTGTCTCTGTGTCTTTTGTTCTAATTACAAAAGAAACATACCTCCAACTGCAAAAACTTCAGAGCATTCTCTACGATTACCCAGAGTAGAAGCAAAATAACCTAGAGTCATTTTTTCTAATTAAAAATGAAACATACCTCCAACTACAGAGATCAAAAGAGTCTCCTAAACTTCAGAGCATTCTCTACGATTACCCAGAGTAGAAGCAAAATACCCTAGAGCCAATAGGACATTATGCTCTGGGAAACCTTTGAAGATTGACACGAAAGACATGGAAAATATTTCCTTGTCAAATTCCATGGAGGAGCCAGGGAGACTGCACAGTGAAAATCTTGCTGAGGTTTGGGATATATGCCAAATTAACTATTCTCAAAGAAACCCTTTTTTGTGAGAGATGAGATTTAACTTGGACTGATGGAGATCAAATATATCCAATTACAAACAAAAAACAAAAAATCCAGCAGTAAATTCTGTACTATCTTTAATTATGGACACATTCACAAAACATCCTTCCCAACTTTCATTAAAGCCTAATAGATCTATTCACATTTAAAAAAGCTGAACTGAAGAAGCTTCTTGGATGACAAGTGAAACGTCTTCAAGGAAAAACAGAGTCCAGTTGTCTTTTGAAAAAGCACCCTTGGGACAACCATGACCTCGATGACTGAGAATCTCCATAGACACTCACATAAAAAGTATTAAATCAACCTTGTTGTGTTTGGTCTGACTATGCCGTATTGTTTGAATCCCGTCTACTAATTAAACAGACAAGCTAAGATGGGTGGTGTGTACACAACCAGTAGTTAATAGACCGAACGTGATTGTATAAACTGAAATTGCTCCAAAGGCAGATGTAGATGTATTTCAAGTCCGTCCTTCGTGGAAATTCTCAATCATTCTCTCTCGGGCAACCTCTCCCACAGATCTCTCATGGGCCTCTAAATACCATAAACAAGAACAAATAAAACCATCAAGTTGCTTTGCAACTTCCCCTTGGATGAAATTACTGAATGAAATAATGCAAAAGGTATACCTCTCTGAAAGTCCTCTCTGAATAGCCAGTCCCCAGCAACCACCATAGACTTCCGACCACAGGAAGTGGGAAAGGTCCCGGTGGGTAGCGTTTGCGTGACCAAATCTGTTTCACGTAGGAAAGAATCCGGCGTGGAATCCAAAGGATCAAAAGGAACAGTAGTTTCAACATCCTCCTTCCTTCTCACTCTCCAGTCTTAAAAAACTTGTGCCTGGAATATTTAGCTCCGATTAATGTTGAGCAGTCATGTGATGTAGTTAAGGTAAATTAAGCACTGTTCAAGTATGAGCTGTAGTGGTGCAGTGGTTAGAATGCAGTGTTGCAGGCTAATTCTGCCAACTGCCAGCAGTTCGATCCTGACCGGCTGAAGGTTAACTTAGCCTTCCATCCTTCCAGTAAAATGAGGACCCAGATTATTGGGGGCAATATGCTGAAGGGAGAGAAGTTAAAAGAATTACCACCCCGAGAAGCATAGAACCCTGTTTCTCTACCTGGAACACCGACATTACAAACTAGCAAAAACCCTGCAGAGGAAACTCAAATACCTGGTCAACAACTCAAATCAATAAACTCCCCAGAACACTTTCTCCAATGTATCCAACACACCAAGATCAATAAGGAAGAAATTATGGTTTCCTTCAATATCACCACCCTCTTCCTCTCGTTTGACATCGCCCTGGCTAACCCAAACCATTTACCATCTACTCATTAAACACCTACCCACAAGGATGATGCCATACCCACCATACTTACAAGGATGATGCCACTACAGAATACTCCATGCCCACAGAAACCATCACGAAACTTCTGGATCTATGCCTCAACACATCCTTCAAAGTCAAGGGGAAAATGTACAAGCAAGTGCAAGGTGCCTCGATGGGATCACCCATATCAGGCCTAATAACAGAAGCAGTTACGCAATGATTCGAATCCATAGCTCCACCCATCATCCAACCAAAATTCTAGACGCGCTACGTCGATGTCACCATTGTCATCATCAAATGCTCCCAAATCGAAGAAACACACCACCCACTTAACAACATATCCCCTGGGATCAAATTTACAGGTGAAGAGGAAACAGACAACAGACTCCCATTCCTTGGGACCGACACAAGGAGACTGGACAAAGGAGAACTGGAAACCTGTGTCTACTGCAGACCTACGCACACGGACCACATGCTCAGCTTCACAAGGGACCATTCCACTGCACACAATAGGTGTCCAGACTCTCTTCAGGAGGGCCAGGACACAGTGCAGCATCACAACACTAAGAAAAGTCGAAGAGAAATGGTTGCTGGATGTCTGTCATGCCTCCATCTGAGCCTGACTCCGAGAAAAACATGGAGTTCCCTGTTGAGGGCCAGGATGGGGTGTCTGTGGCTTCGGAGGACTGTAGGGAGGAGCAGGCTGAGGCAGGCCAGGGCCCTTCAGGTTTGGAACAGGGAAGGCAGAGTTCAGGCGAGGAGGAAGGCTCCTCCCCATCTGATCCTAGAGCAAGGAGAGCAGAGAGGAGGCGAGAACAACAGAGGCAGGCTCACTTGCTCAAGAGGAGAGCATCCCACCCCACTCCACAAGGCGGAGTGGGGATTAGGATTTAAGGAGACGCTGTGGGGTGGGGTAGTTGCCGGGAACAAACGTGGGATCTTGAGATTGTGTTGACGTGTGCTCTTGTAACCTGGACACTTTGTATTCCGTACCAGTTTGTTTCCTGATTCACAACCACAGGCTACATTCCTGAGTTTCCTTGCAGTCTGTAGTTTGCAGTTAGCAGTTCGCAGGCAAGCTGAGAGTTATAAGGACTCTTTACGTTTTCTTGTTATCTGTCTTGCCTTGAGAACAGTGTAAACTTCCCTGGCTGTATTGTTTGAACTCGTGCCAGCATATGTGGGGGCTTTTGGGTGAACATTGGCAGTGATTAAAAAGACTATTGCTCTTGCCAGTTTATTGCTTTGCCTCCGTTCGGGGCCCTGGGTCATCACAATGTCTTTCTCCGCAACGGCTATTCAAAACCTTCATATTCCGACACACAGCACCCAAAACACAACACAACATACAGCTGATCATCACGCAAAAACTAAACCTACCATACACAAAAGGGGTGTCGGACATGACAGCCAGAATTCTCCAACGCCTAGGAGTAGTAATAGCCCACAAACCCACAGCCACACTCCAGAATTATCCAGAACCAAAGACAAGACACAGATGGAGGAAAGAAACAATGTAATCTACAAAATAAGCTGTAACGATTGCAACCAATTCTACGTGGGACAAACGTCACGTCAATTAAAAACCAAGATCTACAAACACCAGCTGGCAGTCAAACGCCATGATTCCAAATCCTTAATCTCTACCCACACTGACACCAAACAGCACCAGTTCGATTGGAGCAACAGTAAAATCATCGGCCACACTACCACCCACCATGCTTGTGAGTTCATGGAAGCCTGGCACCCCAAAAGCAATTCCATCCACAGACACATCGACCTACAGCTTACAAACCCCTCAGAGTCCAAATCTACCGCACAGCCAATCAGAGACAGCACCAACCCTCAACAATCCCACTCAAGCCTCCTGTCAAGGTATTGATTTAACAGCCAACCAGCTTATGTAATGTAAGATGTAAGATAATGATGAGAATGACTCAGCAGGGTTTGTGTCTCTTTAAGAGCCTTTGTATAAAAGAAAAGGCTCTGCTGATGTGTTCGCTCTTTTCTGTTTCTTGCTGTAATTGTGGTTTATTGGATCCTGCTGTATTAGCACGTGTATGTATATTATTCCTGGTGTATGATATTGTAGATAGTATAAGATAAACCACCATTTAATACAAACCACCATTTACTGTGTTTACTCCTGAGTTATCTCAGTGCAATAAGACTGTGCACACTCTTGACAGGTTATGGGCCCAGAGAGAGGAGAAACCCAGTGAGAGCTTGACCCAGAGCCAGAAGAGTTAAGGGTTGTGGTTTGTAGTGGTTTGTGGTGGTAGCAGGCAATATGGACTTCGTCAGCGTAATGAGAGGAGGTTTCGTAGTATCTCATCTGAAAATGGAGATGTACCTGCGAAGGGAGGAGTTGTGGATGATAGTTACTGATCCGCCTGCAGTTCTGGATGATGGGGACCAGAGAAAGCACTGGCCAGCATAATCCTGAGTTTGGAGGATAGCCAGCTGACACACGTGAGGGGTCTCCAGTCTGCTAACGAGTGCTGGGAAGCTTTGTGCAGTGTGTATGTGAGAGACTACGAGGAGCAAAGTAATGCTGACTAGAATGTTATATAAGGCCCAACTGAAACCGGGAGAGAACATGTCTATGCATTTGCAGTCCGTGAGAAAGACACTCCTGTTTACTCCTGGGTTATCTCAGCGCAATAAGACTGTGCACAGTCTGGCACCCCCTCACTTGACACACCCACACCTGACCCATCACAAGATCCATCACTTGACTCACCCACAGCTGACCCATCACAAGACCTACTGACCACATGAAGCCCTTATAAGCAGCAGAACACCAACATTGGCCTCCCGTAAACTCCGCTGAAGATGTTACTTACCCTGGCAACAAAACGTTCAGAAACCAACCCACAATTTCGGAGAACAAACCTCCACCCTCATAAAATCCTAATTCAGGATTCCAAAGAGATTAAATTATTGCACTGGAGTTAGGTTCACTAGAGAAACAAGATGCCAGAACAGATTGTTCTTAGCGTATTTCCTTCTTAGAGTCTTGCCCAATTTATTGAGGAATAGCTTTGTTTTTTTCTGTCTCAGAAGGAGATCCATTGTAAAATTCTTTCTATAAACTGAAATTATCATAACTTTAGCTCGGACACGGTCTTTCTTGAACTGAGCATTTGGAATTATTGTCTCAATTATAGTAGGATGGAATTTGTTGAGATTATAAACCAGGGGTCTTCCAACTTGGCCCTTTTATGACTTGTGGACTTCAACTCCCAGAATTCCTCAGCCAGGCACGCTGGCTGAGGAATTCTGGGAGCTGAAGTCCACAAGTCATAAAAGGGCCAAGTTGGAAGACCCCTGCTATAAATAGTCCTGAAGTAATAATTTGCCGAAAGGTGACAAATATTTCATAAGGATCACCGGTGATCTGTTTCAAGTGATTGAAATGCTTATGATTCAAGAAATTGAACACTATCCCTTAACTGATACTCTTTATTGGTAAGATTCTATAAATTGATAGAATCATACTAAGGAAGAGTATCTATTAGCTAAGGGATAAACTTACATTTGAAGAGATTGACTTTAACCAGAAGAGTTGGAGGAAAACACACCTTCTAGTAGTAAGTTATCACTGTCCCGATGGAAAACATACTATAGTGTAGTACAGTGATGGCGAACCTTTTTGAATGCTGAAACTGCAACCCAAAACTCAGTTATGCATCGTCGAGTGGCGGGTGGGCGTGGCCCATTGGGTGGGCGTGGCTGCAGTGGTAACAGCAGACTGGGTGGGACTAAAAAGTTCAATCAATCAATTCCAACTTTGCAAGTTCTTTTTTTTCCCCGCGAGAAGTTGAAATTGACTGATTGAACCTTTTTTTTTTTTTTTTTGTACACGGCGGCAGAGGCCTAAAGTGAAAAGGTTTTATAAAACCCAGCTGAAGGCCTAGGACTGGGGCGATGGTGCGTGTGCCCACAGAGAGGGCTCTGAGTGCCGCCTCTGGCACCCGTGCCATAGGTTCGCCACCCCTGTTCTAGAGTCTCAACATCTTTTTTACATCGTGGTGACCAAAACTGGATGCCTTATTCCACGTGTGGCCTTACCAAGACCTTGTAAAATGGTATTAACACTTCACGTGATCTTGATTCTATCCCTCTGTTAATGCAGCCCAGCACTGTGTTGGTTTTTTTGGCAGCTGAAGCACATGGCTGGCTCATATTTAAATGATTGTCCACTAGGACTCCGAGATCCCTCTCACAGTTGCTCCTATTGAGCAAGGTACCATTTGTACTATACCTGTACATTTTGGTTTTTTCTTGCCTAAATGCAGAACCTTACTTTTTTCACCATTGAATTTCATTTTGTTAAACACATGAGTTTTATTAAATACCGTATATTCCGGCGTATAAGGTGACTGGGCGTATAAGACGACCCCCAACTTTTGAGAAGATTTTCAGGCTTTAGAAAGTCATCTTATACGCCAGAAAATATAGTACAATATTGAATTTCTGTTTATAGATGAGCACAATAGGAGCTCCTTTGCTGCTAGAAAGCTTTGTCCTGTCAGTGCTTATTTCTGTAAAAAAAATAGGGCTGGCCACTAGGGGGCAGATTGGTTTTAAATTCAGAGAACAGCTACCCGTATATTCCTGCGTATAAGACGACCCCCTGACTTTTGAGATTTTCAGGGATTAGAAAGTCATCTTATACACCGGAAAATACGGTACATAAGTTCAATCTGAGCTGCCTTGCCCGAAGTATGGAAAACGTTATAGCGTTTCCAAAATGACATCTGTTTCAATGGGGTTAGTCTGCAGTTGCAGTCACAGGTAGTCCTCGACTTATAACCGTTCATTTAGTGACCGCTCAAAGCGACAATGGCACTGAGAAAAGCGACTTAAGACTGTTTCTTATACTTAGGATCATTACAGCATGCCCAGGGTCACTTGAATAAAATTCAGACTCTGGGCAACTGACTCGTATTTACGACGGTTGCAGTGTCCCAGGGTCCAGTGATGCCCTTTTGTGACTTTCTGACAAGCAAAGTCTATGGGGAAGCCGGATTCACTTAACAACCGTGTGGCTAACTTAACAACGGCAGAGATCTATTTAACAATTGTGGCAAGAAAGGTCATAAAATGGGGCATAAAATTCACTTAACAATTGTTGCACTTACCAACAGAAATTGGTAAGGACTACCCGTGCTTTATCCAGATCTCTTGGCTGTAGCATCTGTACTTTGTTTTATCGTTAATCCGGAGATAATCATCGGCGATCTTAAAGTCTCTTAAGAACAATTTGTGACTGAGAGACCATCACTGCATTGTCAGCAAAGGGGAGAGTGTTATGTGCTCCTGGCTACTTTCCTTCGTGACCAGCGGCAAGCTCGCCTGATCAATAACCAGTCAAGACACAGTGAAGGCCTTTTGTTTCGTTTATTGCAATAAGCGGGGAGAGAAGTTATCAAAGCTTGGTTCTCTCCAAAGTTTTAACCCAAAATATCTCCTTCTTTTATTCATCCCTATCACCGGCCGCTACAGCCCTCCTCTTTCCCCATTGGCTGAGGTAGTATGAGGTTACACTCTTTCCGTCCGCCTATACATATTTCCTGATAACACACTAAATCATATTCACATATACAATAAGAATAAGAAAAATTAGACATGTAAATGGTTATTTTAAACTCAGTATATATTTATGTCTCCATT